TAGGGAGGGAGAGCATGGGAGGAATAGAGGAACTATAGATAGGGCAGAGGGGTGGGAGGAAAAGGGAGAAGGCACGGGGTTAGAAATGATGGTGGAATGTGATGGTCATCGTTATCCAAAATACAAGTATGAGGACACAAATTGGTATGAATATACTTTTTATACAACCAGAGATATGAAAAAATGTACTTTATATGTGTAATAAGAATTGTAATTCATTCCACTGTCATATATAAATTTTTTAAAAATAAAAAATGAAATAAAATAAATTACACTGGTACCTGGAGGAAGTGAACAGATGAGTTTTCTGTATTTATGGTTAGAGCATTTCAGGGAGAATGAAAAATAAGTATAAGCTCTCAGATCGGGCTGACAGCAGGGAATGAAAATTTTATCACCAGGTAGGTATGGAAATCCAGTGCTGAAGAGGTGCCAAGCAGTTTTATTTAGACTTCTTTGTAATTATTTACTTTTCAGAAAGAAAACCGTTTTAAATATCACTTGTGTAATTAAAATTTTATTTTTCTGTAAATTTAAGGAACCCATACTGGAGATGCCTAGCAAATAAATGTCTATACTTTGATATAACAGTCTGGTATATCCTACTGTTCTTAATCAAAATGCTCTTAACCAAAATGCTCTGGAACACACCTCTGGTTCCTATAATAAGAGGATGAATATGTAAATCGTGCTAAGTAGCACCTGAAGTGAGATATTTTAATTTAAGGTCTGAGACTCCGATGCTTTTGATAAGTAGAATAGGTCTCCAACAGGCATAGAAGATTTTGGAACCTAAATCCTGCTGAAGGATAAGTACTTAACACTCTTTCTCCCACATATTTGTGTTCATCCACTGTTCTACATAAAAATTGGCATTCCCTTGGCCAGAGATGCTGTGACTTGTGCTGTGTGCTGTTCAGAAGGGTAAAGAAAAGATAAAGCACTTAAATAATTAACTACCAAGGATGGGATCTTGGTTAAAGGTCTCTAATAGCAGATATCTCCCCTGTTGGCAAATATGCACACCAACATCACCACCACCACTATCACCACCACCACCACCACCACCTTGCTCTACTCCTATTTGGTAGCAAAGAGGAAATCTGCAATAATTTAACAAGCTCAAAAGGGGGATGACCCTTATTTTATCACAGTGTAGGCATTAATGGTTTTCTGCACTGAAAGCTGGCAGTAGGTAAGTCAGAATTCTTTGTTGTAGCAAAAATAATCCCTCCCTAAAAAAAATCTAATTAAGCATAGAAAGAAGTTATGTATTAGAAGGCTACCGGTTAGTCCTCATACTCTCTAGGAGGCTCAGAGTTTGGAAAGCCCATCTCAGATTCTGCAGCAAAACTGGCCACACACATGCCATCATAGCCACTCCTGGGCACTGGCACTGCTACTGGCATTGCCCACACCCCAGTCTCCAGGCATCTCATGATGCTAGTAAATCCCACAGGATGGCTGCCCTTGGGAACAGACTGCAGCTGCAACCTCTTTCCACTCTCACTGGGGGGGGGGGGGGTCTATTTTAAAAATTCCTTAACAGCATTCTCAGTGAAAAGAAAATTAATATTTTACTTAGAGAAAACAAATTTTCATATAGGTTTGAAAACAGTGCAACAAACAAGAGAAAATTAGTGCAGGAGAAAATATGTGCATGGTTGGCTGTAGAGAGCCAGGCCCAATTCATGTGTCCCTCAAGCACCAAAGTAGCAGTTCCTACAGAACCATCTCCAGTACATTCCTCCTCCACACTGAAACAAAACCACCATTCAGTGCAGAATGGGTCTTCCCTCAAACTGCCCTCTCCTGTGAATAAGCAGCATGCCAAGTGGAATACAAAGTTGGGATAAATGCTATCATTATTTAACATTGACCAGACACTGTTTTAGTCACTAAATCTTTAGTACTACAGTTATAATTCCTGCTTCATGGATTATGAAAATAACTTCATGAATCTATTTCTAATTAATATTTCTATGTAAAACTTAGCTACAAAATCTCAGGGATGAAAAATCAATAGAATTATGCATTTAGTTTTATGAAAGTGTCATTAATATTTCAGCAAAAACTTTGCTAGTGATTCTTTCTTCAAGATTATACTGGCTTTTAATTATAACAGCATGTGATGACATCTAGTGGCTAATGGGCATATTTGAAGTACCCAACTTGATTAAAAAAGAAGAAGAAGATTATCTGTTCCTTGCAAGTTTAGTAAGACTCACCTCAAGTTACCTGGGGCTGGGTTTGTGTGTTGAGTGAAGATTATTCAGGGAAATGAGCACATGCATGGAGAGATAAAGATTTTCAACCTTTCATTCAAAGGTTGAAAATATTACAGCATGCATTTGCTATAATAGTTACAGATCTATTCAAATTTTCTATTCATTTTTGAATTAGCAGGTAAGTTACATTTTTTGCAGAAATATGACCATTTATTCCCTGTAGCCAGAGTATTCCTATTGTGTTTAATATTTATTTGATCTGTAGATTTATATCCATGACCTTTTCCCATCCCTAATAATGTTAAAGTTCAACATTTCTCTACATTACTTTTGCCAGAAAAAAATAACTTAAAATAATATCCTTAAGTTTTTTCCACTTTGTGTCTTATTTATCTATATATTATCAATATATTTCTTAGAAATATTGAACCCTCAGTCCTTAGCAACTGTTGTCTATTTAAAAAGCTGGAACCATTTATTTAATGTAAAAATAAAAAGAGCTTAATTTAAGATTTAAAAATTCAGAACTCTAACTCAAGGGTGCAAAAATTTTCCATTTTCTAAAGTAAATTTATTTTCTTTATCAGTAAAGTTAGATTTACTAAGAAAGAAGCCAATGAGACATGGCCACAATGCAATTTGAGATATGTGGTCCCAAGAAGACTACAGAATTTTGGGGTGGGTGAGTGTGTGAGTGTGTGTATGCGCGCGCACGCATGAGTGACTATGTGTAACTAATCAACATAGAGAACCCTTCTCCCCCCCAATCCCCCCTTCCAGGCTTGGCCTGGGGCAGGAAGCACAGTCCCTGCTTAGTAACTAGTCTAACCCCTCAGAAAAGAAGATTCTGTGCTACTCAGGCTTCCTTTCCTCCTGTGGTACTAGGAATCTTTATTTAATCCCAGAAAAGGGGAAAACTTTCTACTTGTCCTCAAAAATCTCTCTGAAGTTCAAATGCTTACATCAGAACATAAAAGTCAATACTTGCATTTTGTTCCTATTGGTTTTGCTGTCTGCGGATTTTGTGTTATCCCTCCCTGAGGGGTTGAATGTTGCAAGCCTGGCTGCCCAAAAGTGGGGGTGGCAGAGAATGGAGTGGGAGGAGGAAAAGAAATTTCCAGTGAAATGATGTGTTGTGCCTCGGATCTCTGCAGAAGCAAGTCTCAGAAGCTGACTGGTCAATGTATTAGCTTGAACCACATAAGATAATCAACATGCTCCCTTTTTTTTCTTTATAAAAAGACAGGTTCAACCTAATATAAAGTATTATAATGAGTCAATTCATCTAGGTTAACATATTTTCTTTTTAATAAAAACGAAAGACTATTCTGAATCTGTATTTCTCTGCCAAGAAGGTAATAGTCCCCTCGTGAAGCTATTCTAGGGCATTAGGGTCAGAGACTCTTCAGTATCAATGAATTTTACATTTCATAGTCCTCATTTGGACAAGTTTGGATATCTAGGAGGTGGTGCCATGTGCTTTGGGGTTTGAGAGTATATGCACATTGGAGCTGGTCAGATTGGGTTCTAGTGCACAATTTACCGCTTGCTAGCTATGTGACCTTTCTGTGCTTCCGTTTGTTAATGTACAGAATGAGGATATTAATAATGTCCATCTTATATTGTGAGCAGTGAGTGAGCTAGTATTTGTAAAACTCACAGATCAGTGCTTGGTCTATTCTCATGTGACTATTTACTGTTATTGGATATCATGGGTTGAATTTGGCCCCCACCCATGCCCAAATTTATATGATGAAGGCAAATTTATATAGAGAGAAGGAAGTCTGTGGTTTTCTGGGGCTGGCAAATGTAAATGTGGACATGTGGGATATTTTGAGAGTGGTGGTTATATTCTAACTTGAATTGTGGTGGTGGCTGCATAATTCTATATATTTACTAACATCACTAAATTTTACAATAAAGTGGGTGAAGTTTATGGTATATAAATAACTTCAAGAAAGCTGTTAATAACTTGATCACTTTTAACAGAAATGTATAGCTATATGCTTTGTATTTTGACAGCAACATGGAGCTGGCAAACATTGAGAGGCAAATGGAGAAAGAGCTCTAAAAAGAGCTGTTGCTATAGTGCCGCTGATTACCATCTTTAACATCCCATTTTCCTTCTATTAGCAAAAGTGTCGTCCTTGCCATGGAAACATTCCTAGTGTTTGATTACGTGCGTGACTTTATTTTGTTTTATGGTCTTCATCTAAGGTAGAGCTGATTAATCCCTTAACAGGACCACTCGCCTAATGTTCAGACAGCTCGCACTACATTTTACGTACAGGATATTGCTATTTAAGAAAGGATTATTTACTGTGACAAATCTTATATGGGAAATGAAGCAAAATTTAACTAGGAAAAGGTTTTCCATGCCAGAGTCAGATGTGTATTGCAAGAAGGGAAAACAAACTTCCCTCTAGAGTGGTTTGAATTATTCACAGTCTCTGACGTGATTTCAACATAATCCAACACAAATGCTTCCAGCATCATCTTTGCCAATTCTGGTGATTGTTACAATGACCCACTCCACTGTTCAGGGAAGAATCCTTTCCCTTTCCAGACCTTGTGGGCTTCCTGCTCAAAGCACCCTAACTCCCTGTGAAAACTGAAGTCACTTAAAAGAGGACTCATATTAATTCAGTCAGTTTCCTACAACTCTCTGAAAGTCCCTTTGGGTCCTTTCTTGGAGCAAACTTTTAACAACCAAATTAATTCAGTCTAAAAGTCCTTTAACACTTTTACTGCTTCTCTAGCAACGTCACGTATTCCTTTTCTAATGTTACCTTGCATAATTATATCTTAATTGCTTTCTCTAGTCTACTCTTCTCTGACCTATCAATATTCAATGTTCTTCTCTACTAATGAGACTTACTATTCTTAAGAGCAGAGACAACATCTTTATTTACCTTCAAACATCCTGCACATAAAACTGTTAAATCTTGCCCATCTTTCAAGGACCCTGCCAGGGCTACCCCTTCCATAATTTATATCTAACATCACCAACCAGATATAATTTCTTAGCCCTTGTAGGTCCTCTACAGATTATAAAACTTCAGCTACATTGTGTTCTCTTTATTATATAGTAATGTATTTACCTATCTTATTTCTTGCTGCACTGTCAGTTTGTGACAATAACAGGTATATTATACTACCTTGTGTTCTCTGTTCTGCCCCAAATCCCAACCTACCCAATATCAATCTCAAAATTGCAATGTGCTCAGTCATATCAATTAAATCAAATAGAAATGCTTAGGCCATTCTTATCTATAACAACACTACCCAAGTATGACATCAAATTCAATGGCAGCAACAGTGACAGGCCTTATTTAGTTTATTTGTGTAAGGAGCAAGAAGCATTTATAATCAATGAACGGAACTTCTCTACACAAATTTTGAAGAGGATGCACCTCTTCTTCCAATCCCACTTTCCCAAAATCTACAAATTTACAAATCTCTCATTATTGCAAGTGTTCATCTGCATCTGGAGTGATTTGTAAAATATTTTACCTTCTGATACACAAGGCAGTGGTATTGTAAATAAGATATTCCTCCTTTGTATCCACATAGACCCATTTCTGAATGAGGTAGTTCTGTTGCAGGATCTAAACATACTGATTACCCTATCTGAGGTTTAGATTCCTTACCACTAATATGAAGATCAAAGTAACGAACTCCTATGATTATTGGGAAGATTACATGAGAAAATGTGTTAAGGCACTCTTGACAGTACTTGTAATAATAATAATAATTTATTGCACCTACTGAGGACCATACACTATTTTTTTCTGAGGACCTAACAATGAATGAGACAGACAAGGAAAGACAAACAGTTTGAAATCTAGTGGAAAAGGCAGATAATTCAACATGCAAATGTAGCTTCCTGTGATAAATAGTAATGCAGAAGTACAGAGGACTTTACAAAGGAGGCACAACAATGAAATTAGAATGTTTCACTTTTATAAATTCTAAATCTTGATATTCACAAAGTATAGTCAATACTAACAATAAAATCTATTTGATGATCTGGTGCTGACATAATGTAAGGAGTCCACAAGCACAAACATGTGGATTCTACAGGAATCAAATCTACAGGCAGATATTCATTCCTTAGCTATGCAGAAGAGCCTCTGGATAAATTAAAATCAATACATGTGTCATGAATTTGCATATTTTCCTATTTTGGGTAATAACAAGACTATGTGAAGCGACAGGGACCGATTAGTAGTTTCTGCAAAGCAGATGCCCATGGTGTGTTTTCTTCATTTTCTAAAATAGCATGCTAATTTTAAAAGGCAATATAATAAAAGACATACAGGGTTGTGAATGGAAAAATTTCAAAGCTCACAAGACCTATTTTTCATTATAAGTGGCCTCTGGGGAGTGATGAGAAACCAGCATGCCACTTGTCAAACAGGAACCTGTGGGCAATTTTTACACTCGGGTTTACTTGCAGCAATCTTAGCAGACCATGAACATTACAGCAGGTGGATAACATGAGCTTAGGTAAATGAAGTCTAATGTCTTTGCTGCTTAACATGAATAACAACGGTAACAGAGGCCTTGAGCTGATTTCCGGGTGCCATGTCCTCTGTCTCTGAACAGAATTAGCGAACAGCTTCAAAGGTGGGACACCAAGTCCAAAAGCCCTTCCTCAGATTGCCATTGACTATGCTCTTCTTATCTCCACTCTTCTGTTCTCTGCACCCAGGGGAGGGAGGAATATGGGTGTTTTAACTGTTTTCCCCCTTCCATTTAAACTCTGAATATCTTGGGCAAGTACAACTTAGGAAAACCTTTTATTAGATGTCCTTTGATTTCTTGTCAGTTCTGCTTAAGGTGATTTAAAATACTGCCTTGTTTTATAATCAAAATACTTCGAGTATGTCTTCCAGAGAGTTGGCAAATATGCATGAGTTGCCATTATATTTCCATGAAAGTAGCAATCTTGTGTTTTTTCCTTTCCTCTTGCTTGCTTTCTTTGTGGGTGACTGCATTATCCAACTGCGAGAGATGATCATGCAGAGTAAATTAAGTTTTCAAAGTCACCAACTAGAAATAAAATAGTGAAGTTAAGTATCATCAACTAATTGAAATAATACAAAGGAAAATATCTTTTTAATTGATTTTCCTTAGCTTATTACAACCATGATATATGTATACAGAATTTCAAGTCATCTCTGAAGTATCAACATAGGACTATTACTGGATTCATAGTGCACATTAAGACTAAAGGTTGTAAAATAAATACCCTTGTAATTGCTCAAATAGAAATGCTCCCCTAACCGAGCCAGAAGCTGCTCAGAGATAAATAGTTGCCAGAAACTGCTGGAGGGTTGAAGAAATCCTAAAGCCTATCTCATTAAGAACCATGTGACACTGTCTCAATTTCCTCTTCTGAAAAAAAAATATGAAGATAATAAGAACTGCCTCTTGAGATTGTTGAAAGGGTTGGGCATAGCTGCTAGTTCACTGTGCACATTGCAGATACTAATGGTGGCTGTTCTCATTATTACTCTGATTAATAAAGATTCCATCACACCCTTGGAGACATCTGTAGTATAGAATGCCTCAAACCGCCTTGAGGAACCTGTCTGGAAGTCATGTGTGATACAGGAGAAGCCCTGATCCAGCTGTGGACCTGGTCACTAAAGGGCTCCACACACTTGGCTGGGCCTTTCATTAGCCTTCTCTTGCCATTTCGTCATTTAAATCTTTGAGTCAACTCAAATTGCTTGCAACTGCCCATAAGCTCACAGAATGTCATTTTTATGAATTCTTTAGATTAAACAGGACTCGTGTCCGATATCTGAGAGATGCAATATCTGAGACACCAAATATCCCCATTCTTAAATTTCTGAGCAAATAACTAGATAATGCATCAAGCGTTTGTGGGATGGTGGTTTACTACATTTGCCACATCTCCTAGAGAACTGCCAACTAGAACACTTCAACTCTTAAACACTCCTAGTCTACTCTTCCAGACCTCAAATTTGTAGTTTCTGCAAAGTAGAAACTTTCTGTTGAAAAGAGCAGGCTACTGTACTGATTGATAAAGAACTTATCTCCTAGGGGCACAGAACACTGGACAGATGCTATCATATAATAACTGTCTGTTGTTTGAAAGCAGCTAGTAAGAAAAATCATTGATAAGTCATCTGAAACACTGAAAGTCAAGTGACTTACTCTCCCAGCACCAGTGAGCACAGGAAAATGTAACCCTCTGAATTCTATGTATTCATCAGATTTCTTAATCTGGTCAACTGCCACTGCCCAAGCAACTTTGATAACCACTGTATGGCTTTCTTACCTGGCTGCTGTTACTGGGCTTGTCCTAAGACCCCAGCCCCTCACCACCTCCACCAGGTGAGATTCAGTGCTGTCCTTTGTTCTACCCAGAACATCACTATCAGCCACACTACATGGCCTCTCTACTCTGCAACTTCACATCAAATGCCCTCCTGACATTTCACACAATAAAAATGTATTCAACTGATTGAAATGACTTTTCTCTAAACCCTGTAATAGATAACAGAATTTTCCACAACACAAATTGAAGTATCCACAAAATTTGCTTTCTAATCTCTCTCCCCTGACCTTTTATGTCTCCTTTCAGAAATATTAGTTAAATAATTTGTGAAACCTAATGCACAGTGAAAATTAAGATGCCCTTTATTAACAAAAAAAATTTAGTAATTTTAAGGTAGCAACAAAAGCATACTGAAACCAACTTCTGAGCTCTATGCAAACATGATACATGCCACATGTTTATGGAGCCACACCAGTGTCTCTTCCTCCTGAGTCCTAAACTCCTCTGCAGTTATATACTTAGTTTGTCTTCATCAGCCAGGAAAAAAATAACCAGAAATAATTTCCATTGATTTTTCACCAGTCCTTTGGTTCCAGAGGTTTATATTAAAGACTATTGACATTTTCTAGTTTTTTCCTCAGAAGCCGACTGTCAACAAATGAATTCACCAAACTAATTATTACACGTGTTACCTGGGGAGTCTAATTCTCACATTCCCATTCAAGTATGACTTCTAAAATCGAAGCTGCATTTTTATGAACTAGTTTATTACTAACTGGCCAGGGAAACTCTGTGCCTGTGGACTGTGTGAATCTCAATCTCTCAAATAACCTTGCATCTGATCCACTTAGAAATAGGACTTCATCCGGGACAAAGATTCTTCAGCAGAACAATTGGTTTCTTTTCTCCAGGATAACAGACAAAATTTTTTTATTTTTCAGTATCTGGAACCAAAAGCACATCTGTAGGTTAAGAGACACTCTACCAGTTAGCAGAGGCTACATCCTGAATCAATAAGCTAAAGCCTAAAAATAAAGCCACATGGTCAATTTGGAACAGTGTTTGACTTAAAACAGACCTAAGTGGAATATTCCTTAATTACCACTGTTGTGTAATATTTTTCTGACCCCCTTTTCTCAGGCATGTTTAATTCTCAAGGGTATTTCTAGGCATTGCGTTTAAGCAATTTAAATCTGTTTCCAATCTGCAGATAATATCATTCGTCCTACCAAACAACCCTGGCCCATGGCAGAGAATAAAAATAAAATTAGAAATACATTGTTAAGTATGTTATTGTTTATATTACCAGATATAACTAGTGTTTTGAATTGCTAGAGTTGTTTAGAAAAGTTTGAGCGTCTTTCACTTTCATCAAATTCAGATGTATTTTGCTATATAGCCTATTTTTAAAATACTAATCATAAACTAAATCAGAACTTAAAGAGAAATTATTTTGTATGAGTATACTATGTAGAATTTTATTAATACATATTTTTATATGCATAGAATATAACAATATAGTTTGGTCAATTTTGTGCCCAAGGACCTCCCTGTTCCTTCCCTCTGGTTCCCTCTCTCTCTGTTCTGCTGGTCTCTCTTCTATTTTCATGAGATTCTCCCTGCTCTCCCCAACCCCACTAAAGAAATCTTTTGTAAAATAAATCTTTGTTTTTCAATAATAATAAGCATCCCTTACACTATATTTTCTGTCAGGTGTTTTATTATATTCCAATAGTAGGCAGCATGAATTATGTTCCCTTTAAGATGGATACCCAAATTTACTCATCTGAGCCAAATAAATGATTTACAAGCAGAACAGTCATTCAACTCAGTAGAGATCATGTTAATAACACTCAAGTGGACAAGGCAGGGCCATCATATGGAGTAAATTGATTATAATGAATATAATACAGCCAGAATGGGCAGAATCCATGTCACCACAGAACTGTTATCACTTGTCTTTCTGGTAAAGAGAGGAGAATAGACATATTGACACATGGAAAAGATAAGCCTTCTATGATTCTTTGACTTTCACCCAGAAGTCAAACAGAATGTGAATGAGAGATTTGAACGTCATGGCCAAAGTGCCAAGTTCTCAGGGTTGGGCTGTCTGGGCTTATCTTCAGCTCTGCCACAACTTCTGTGTTCTCCAAGGCAATGCAGTTTCTTTTCTTCAATTAAATGAAAACTTTGAACTGGATTATCTAAATTTTCTTTAAATTCTAAATGTCGGTGATGAAATTTCTACTTAAAAAGGGATAAACAAAAGCAGTTTCTGGTACGAAATCTTCTACTTTCAACACAGACAACGAATATTTAAACATAAAAATATCTCCCTTATTGTTAAAGCTGCCTTCACAAAAATGTTCAGCAAAGAATTCAGGATAGCAAACTACTGATATAAATTTCACATTTCTATTTACCTTCTGCCTACTCCCTTGAAAAAGCAATAAGATGGGAAAAATCCCCACTGATGGGGTTGGGGGCTGAGGGGCATGGAATGTCATTTTCCTGAATTACTCAGGACAATTGGAATTTTTCAAAAAAGTTAAATAAATTTCATGTTTTATTAGATATAATTTTCTGCAGTGTTTGAAGACATGTTTGAGAAAAATTAAGGTTTGTGTTTAATAACCTTCCGTATTTTTCCCAAAAATGAGAATTTATCAAAAAAAAAAAAAAAACCTCATACCTCTGTGTTCCCATTGTTCTATTCCCATTATTCTCTTTTTCTCAGCTTCATCTATTTAAAAAATAATCACTCCATAATCTCTGCTGGTTTCATGCTGTACATTCAGAATGTCTTACATGGTTCTGGCCCTCCAGAGTTATCCCTGTTATAATTATGATCCCTCTTCATTCTCCTTTGGATATAATTTTCTGTGAGCAAACTTACTGTTCTTTCATATAAAAATGTCTTAAGAATACTTTTTTTGTATTAAAAAAAAGCATTTATTTGATGTACTAGTTTAAGAGTTACTAAAGCAACTCCCCAAATATTCAAATTTCAGGAAGAAAAAAAATCATGTACTTTTTTTTTTTAAATGAAGGAAAGTATATTACAGTAGGTTTCTAAAGTTTCCATGATTGAGGTATTTCTTCAAATTCTTTGCCTTTACTAAGTATTAAAGTTGTTTGTCCAGCCTTATTTGTATATCATGTCCTTCCAGGGGTTGCAAGATACAGTTTTTTTCTTTTAGATCCCAAAGATAAACATTTACTCTGTGTTTCACTCTAGTTCCTTATTTGACAAGAGTCACAAGGGCTCCATTGTTCAAATTTGCATTTTTTATGAAAATATATATTTGTGTAAATTATACTTACAAAGCTTAGTATTTCCACTATGCATAGTTAGCAAGTCTACTAATGATAGGTTAGTAAAAGTTACAGTAAAGAGGTAGGACTAACCCTGAGGATGATATGAGACATAGGAAAACATAACAATATACACCGTCTTCCCAAACTCCATTCCATAATTTTTATGTAAGTGAAAAATGGCTGAAAAGAAAATTAAGAGTAGTTTTATTTGGGATGAATCTTACTAGAAAGGGAATGCATTCATTCATTCTTCCAATATTTATTGAGTACCTACTATGCTAGACTCAAAGCTGTGTCCACATAAGCAGTTGAAGTATGTATGAGAAAAGTGGGAAATTCCTTTTGGTCAAGGAGAGATAAGAAATACAGGCTAATCCAGAGTTCTAGACTCCTTTAGGCCCCACCACCAGCTGGTGGGTGTACCTATTCTTCTCAAATTACCCTTTTCCTCTGAGTCACAACCTAGCCATCTACTTTCCTGAGTCACTGGAGACCATCCATGAATGGGTGGGATGCAGGTGTATCTGTCACCATTCACCACTGCCCTGGGGACAGATCTGTTTAAAGATTAAGTCAACATTTTTTTTAAAGTAATGAATGATCTGCAGAAAAGTCATCCCAAACTCTCTGATAAAGGAGGGGGGAAAAAAAAGCAGGAAATGTGGCAAAAGTTTGTTCTGCTTTGTTCTCTTTTGGACACAGTAAAAAGGAATGGACTTATATAGAGAATAAGGACTGTATTTTGATTAGGTGATTTGAAACCCAACATACCTCAGCTTTGCACTTGCATACTTCTAAATAGAGGCATCCCTCACTTAAAAAAGATAATAATGGTGCTGTCTCTCCATGGCTGACAAGGAAACGCTGAAGTCCCAAATTCCTTGATATGTCATTGCACTTGGTTTTTATCTAAAAATATATAGCATTCTTTCACACAAAATAAAACATGGAGCAGAGGAGGCAAGACATATCTTGAAAGATCTCTCCACTAGATACTTGGAAATGCTAGGGGAAAAAGGAACAATATCACCCTTTAAATGCATAGTCAAATTTGCAAAAAAAAAAAAAAAAAAAAAAAGTAAGAGAAACCTAAAAAGAGAAAGAGACACAGAGAGAGAGAGACAGAGAGAGAGAAACACCAAAGGGAATCCTAAACCAGAATAACAACCTAGCATTTACTGCAGCTGAGTTCAACATTTACAATTCTTAGTTATCTAGAGTTCTTGTTTGCATGTCGGAAAACATGATGTCAGGTTGTCATAAACTGAGCCAGAGACCCTTAAACTTCCCCAGCTTCAGTGAAAGAGTAGACAGGAAAAACTAGTTATCTGTACCAACTGCTGACAAGGAAATACGTATCTTTTAGCACAATACCAGGCCTGGGCTTTCCTGGGTTTCTAATTTAAATTTACCTTACCTGTGTGATCCAGGAACCCAAGGCAAGAAAATAACACATCAGTCCAGTGTGGTACCTGGTGGCACCCAGGCCACCTGAAATATCAATGCTAATCATCTTCAAAGACTTGCACCCTCAACCCAATCCTCAGAGCACCCTACAGTTTAAACAATGTGAATGTTACAAAAAAAAAAAAAAAAAAAAACTTAATAGACCTACAAGTAGACCTACAAATACACATAGAATGTTATTTAAAAAAAAAAAAAACTAATAAATCAGTCCAAATTAAGTGACTAAGGTTTTGGTTTTTTTCCCCATGAAAAGAACACCACTTTTCTAACTATGTTAGTGTTGCCTTAAATACATCAGAGGAAAATAATGAAATCCTAACTAGATCCCTTGAAATCTGGTTGGAAAGGATAGAGAGGTCTACTAAGTGCATGGGAGAAAATGGAAACTAGGTAGGATCATTGTTCCTTTTCAGTTCCATGATGGAGATCTGAAACCTCAGAGTATTACAGTACCGACTTCCTGGGAAGGCCACAAGAATGTTTTAGAGCAACTGCCAAAGGAAATGAAGGATGATAGGGAGTTAGTGAATAATCCTTATAGAATGGCAGGATTTATAATTAAAAGCAAGTCATTTGAGTAAATGCAGACAAAACTGGTTGCTAGCTATAATTGCTATTTAAGCACATTTTTTGCTGTCAACAGTGTTGAGCATCCAGTAATCTAATTTACATTACCACTATTTTGGGTTCACACAAACCAGAAGCCCATGTTACATTGTTTCAACGGGGAATCCAGCCAGAGGGGACAAGGACAGAAGATGGGTCAAGTTATGGGTTGCAGAGCTTAAGCCACTCTTACCATGTAGGTACCCAGTCTGCAAAGGCAGGCAGAGGTTGTTCTGCAAGTATAACACCTGGGAAGAAGACCCAAAAGGAGGGATCTGTAAACAGAAAGTCCAGCAGACACAGACCTAGAGTTCAAGGAAAGCAGGAGCTTATTCTCATCTTCCTCCCACACTGACACATTTCAACTGGATACATTTCACTAAAATTCACCAGTGTCTAACAACTGATCTTGCTTCTAGAATATATTGAAAAATGCCGCCCTATGAGCAAAGGGCAACAACCATATGATATCAAGAGAATGTGCTGTAAACATCAGGCCGATTTCACAAGCAACCAACAATCACCTAGTAGCGACACTAGGAGAAGAGACAAATGGCAGATCCTAATTTCTAATATTTCATTATTCTGTTCTTGTGAAATTCATGTGGGATTTTAAACATATAAAATATTAAATATTCTTTAATTGTGAGCATTTGAAGTTTTATTACTTTGGAATTGGCTGAAATAGAAATAGAGGGAAAGTGTTCAAGAGTAAGTGGATTGTAATTTATTAGAAAAATGGGATCTCCAAATAGAGGGTATTCCCAAGCCATGCCAGCAAATACACAAGGATCCTGTTCCATTCCCTAACCCCACATCCCTGAATCAGTCCTATTCAGCTGTATACCAAGGACCACGTTGCTCTGACTCCATTAACTGAACTTTACCTCTATCTCAGGGAAACCAAAAATGCTTAGAAATTTGCTACAAGCTGGGTGCAGCGGTGCTCTCCTGTAATACCATTGACTGAGGAGGCTGAGGCAGGAGGATTACAAGTTCAAAGCCAGCCTCAGCAACTTAGTGAGATTGTATCTCAAAATTTTAAAAAATAAATAAATAAAAGAACTGAGGATATAACTCTGTGAAAAAGTGACCCTAAGTTTGATCAGAAAGGAAGTGGTGGTCGGGGTGGGGAGGGGGGAGGCACAAGCATCTACACCTTGTACTAGAATGCCCCAGGACTACCTTCTGCCTCCCCCCTGAAACTCATTGGTCCACAGTTTCTTTGTTTCTGAGCCCTTTTTGATATTCAATATTTATTCTGTAGGAAGATGTTCATGATTAATGTCATCTGTAGGCTTTGCAACTTTTACTCCTATAGGGTATAACTTCCAGAATTTCCCAGCTAGCTCCTTGCTTCCAACCCATGAGAAGGAGGAAACACTCCTGAATCCCAAGAAACAAATCATCTTGGGGGCAGAGGAGATTTAACAACTAGATTGGAGATTTCCTGAAAAGATCCAGCATCCCAGCATCCATATTTTCTGAGACACAGACGGAAATTTGGACAACCAGCAACTAGTGAAAATGGGCCCTATCAGTAAACAATATAGATCCAACTGAATTGTCCAAACCCTGCTCTTACTTCCCATAACATGGCCACAGCTACTCAACTTCTGGCTTTCTCATTTGCCTTATTCTGGTTTCTTATCTCTTAGGTTTGATACATTCAATTTCCCTGGGTTTGAGCCTCAAAATCCCTAAATATAAATAATAATGTTCTACTTCATCAGGCTCCTAAATATTTTAAGAAACATTCTATCAAACACATTTTGATCTTTCCTATTTTATTCTGGAACCCCCCAAAAAACATACACACAACACACACACACACATACACACACACACACACACGGTTGGTTTAGATAATCTCACCATATTTTACACTCATTAGAGCTCATTTGAAGCACTATGCTCAATCCAGATTTTAACAGGGATTTTAGCTGAAGAATGATGCAAAGTGCCAAAACTGCCATAGAGGACCAGTGAGAGGACCTAGAAAGGTCTGACCAGAATTTTTTTTTTAAACAAATCCTTAGTCATTTGATTATTCTAAACAGGTTGATTTTAATATTTCAACAATTCAATAGCAAGTGTTTGCAGTGGGAGTTTACTTATTTGTCCTCAGCTCTCTGTCTTTTCTAAAAGGGCATTTTACTTTAGGCCATATATTTTCTAAAACTAGAAACATGAATTCTTTGGGAAGACAAAGTTTTGACTATTACGTTGAAGATCTCATGGGGAAGCTACGGCTTCCAGTCATCTGACAATTTCCTATGCTCCGATAATATTAGATAAAACCTCTTCATCAGCAATGCATCACAGGCCCACAGCACTATTTTTCATATTCAACAAAACTTCTCTTTGCATAGATATGTGTCTGTAAAAACAGAACATTCATACCGAGGCCAGAGTGCCATAGAAGGTAATTATAGAGCCAGGAAGGTCATTTTATGCCAGGAAAAATAAAATGCTGGGTGTCTCATGAAATTTCAGAACCCAGTTTCAAAAGGATCATAACAAAGAGGAAATAAAATTCAGCATGGTGGACCGCTCCACAGGATATATTTGTAAGTATGAAATTCTGTAAAATAGCTGATGAGTGCAACTATGTTGGCTTGTTAGAAATGACTCGAGGAAGTTGATGGTCTCAGCAGGACTGCCACGAGTGTGAGCAGGGGTATTTTTTTCCCAGGGAGAAAATAAACCGGTAAACCCAACTTAGACTTTCTATTCTTAAAACTTACAGTCACACATATAAAAATGGATCTTAATTGAGCAATAGAGGAATATTACCATTTGGGAGTACATTCCTTCATTTTATGTGGGTTTGTATGTATATGTGTGTATGTTTAGTTTAAATAAAGATATAAAATCAGACAATTCAGAATTGCTGATTTTAGAAATTGCACATTGAAGTATGAGTTCCATCAATTTATTTGCTGAACTGATTCCAGGTGTGGATTCCAATAAGGTCTTGCTGAAGTATGGTTAACCTCGATTTTACTGAATTTCTTCATTGCTCCATGTTATGCCCATGTACAAAGTTTTTTTTTTTTTAAAGGTGGGAATTGTGTGCTATGACCAAGAAAATCTTGCTAAAAAGTAAATTTCTCCAGATTTTTCTACATCTTGAGGAACATGTTACATCATAAAATAAAGGAACAGAGTCAATATTTCTTTGCAGATGTACTGTATGAACAGAAAGAATTTACTGATTGCCTATCAGATTGTATTAAAATATTTAAGTATGTGAAAGGGCATAAGATTCATAAAATTCATTTATGAATGAAATTCATATTTTATTTGATTTTTAGATTTAATTTAAACACTGAAAGAAATGTGAATCTGTGTTTTGCATTTATCACCAATTCATTTACAACCACTCTAAGATTCTATTAATAAAATGTTATTTCTTTTAAATAATTACCAAGGGAAAACACTAAAGGCATAATCATTATGGAGATCTAAACTTGTTCTAAATGTTCTATGCTTAGATTGAGTTAAACTAGCATGCATGTTTACAAAGTATTAAAAAATTTAAAAAGGGCAAATTAAAGCATCTTAAGATAAATATAAGACATTTAAATGAAAACAATGGAAAATAGAAGTAAAATATATATTTGCATAGTTATGTAATAATCCATGAAATTAAAGTTCTTGATAAGGAGACAACAAATCAAAAATGTAGAAAACCACAGTACAGCATTTATAGAGTAGAAAAATTATTTACCTAAGACATAAGGCAGGGTATTTATAGAAATACTTGCCAAATGGATATTTTCTTCAGGAAGTTCACACTAATCTTCCTTTATTTTGTTGTAGTATTATTTTTCTTTTAGATTAATGGGATGTTTACATATACCATTGCCACCAACATGAGAAAAAAGTGATCATCATTGATTTGCAGCTTGGTGAGTTTATTCATAATATAAACCAGTTCTACATTATATCAGTATAGGTCATTCTAAACCGGGAACTCTATTTGCCAGAGTAGAATTGTAGCTCTATGAGTATTTGAAATGAACTTTTATCTTTGCTTATATTTTGATTGAAGGTATAATTTTACTAAAAATATTCTTACTTAAATTTACCAAATAAAATGAAGTTCATTTTATCAATAGGCTCAATCAAATCCTTATCCTGAAGAAGCTATATATTTTAAAAATATATATATAAATTACCCTTTTTTGGAATTACCAAGAATTGTTTTTTTAAAAGTTCTCAATTGCGAATGTTGAGAGGGTTTGACTCTACCATTCTATATTTTGGTATAAATTGACTGAAATGTATTATTTAATGATAAATATTGTTGGATGCAGGATTGTAGATATATATTTAAATTCCTACTTATTTTGGAATTTGTCCTCAGACTGTGAATTATATGTTCTTCATTTTGTCAGATGAGATTCCAAAGACTGCCTTTTTTCTTCTGATTTTAGAGGTATGAGAATCTTTTAATTTCTACCCCATCTGCTTCCCATCTTCCAAAATTACTTTGAAATATTTTGTTTTCTTTCCCCCTCTTTTAATCTCTTTTTCCTTTGTGTTTAAGTTTTACATATTCTTTTACTGTGATTTTACCAGTGTTTTGGTTAGAAGAGATAATAAACTCCAATGGTCAATCTATCCTTTTTACTTGGAACTAGATTAAACACTTTTGAACTTACCCTTTGTCCCAACATAAATGACATTAGGAGGACGCGGGGAGTATTCTATGACATTCCAGCAGAGTAGTGGCGCCTGGTGATTATGAACCCAGAAGTAAGAAGTAGAAAACAGCACAGGCATGTGACCACTCTGTTACAAAGATCTTAGGGGCAAGCAACAGGGCACCAAGCAATGGGCAGTTCCTGAGAGCAGAAATCCCATCACTGAGACAGCACCCAACAAGTCCCATTTCTCAAGCATTTGGAAATCCAGAGAACTTCACAACATACAACTCTTCTGTGCATAATATATCTTGTACATAATTCCTTAAATGTTTTCACAGACATTTTTATTTTACTCTTTTTCCAATGTCACCCAACTAATGAAAGTCTTGGACCAGAGAATCTCCCTCTGAATAGATCACGTAATGAGCACAGAGCTGCTACGTCTATACAGAGGCTTTGCTAGAATTAGAACAAAAAAAGTAGTCTTTCCACAACAGGATGGAGCACAGCTTGGTGTCCCATAGTTGGCAAGAATTGTCTGCCTGGATGCCAGCTTCCTCTCTCCCTTTGGACCAGACATATATGTAGAAGAGACAATCTGCAAAATTGTACCTAAGGGGACACTCTGGTTGGTCAGTTTGATCTTGTTGCTCTAGCATGCCTGAGCACTTCTGACCAAACAAACCCCACCTAATAGTCTCAACCCTTCAATATGATACTTAAGTGAATTCCTGTAGCAGACCCACTTAATCCTAAAACTGGAACCCAGCCACTAAAACACCATATGAACAATAGAAATATGGAAGCAACAAAAGGAAGAAGATTTTCAGAATATATTCAAATGTTGAAGAAAAAAATAATATTAATGAGAAAAACTGGTAATATCTGAGATGAAATTTAAAAAGAAGAATAGTCCAACAGAATGTGCATTTCCTGTACACACAAAAGAGAAATATTTCCTGAGTGACAGAGTATAAGAAGCTAAACTGGAACAGACAGTTTTTGCATATATCTCTTTTTCCAATCTTTAGAGTTCCACTTTGTACTAAAGGAAACTGAGAATCAGAGTTGACCTAACATGTCCAAGGTCACACAGCTCATAAGAGCCTGAACTCAAGTACATGTCTCTTTGAATATACTCTGTCACCTCTCAGGAACTCTGGGAACCCCCTAAACTCCATGCATCTAGAAATTACCTTCAATGTGCTTCTGACCTCACTGAGAATTGCATGGCAATTCTAAGACAGCTATGCTTTTGCCAAACAATTCCACTAAAGTTATTTGAAAAATGATAACTTGTAAATAGACATGCACTGGAGTTAATGGGATACAAAATCTATTATTAAATGTAGAGAGGAGATAATGGGATACAAAATCTATTATTAAATGTAGAGAGCATATGATAAGTCCAATCCTGGTAGAAGACAGCAGTTATACAGACAGAGAAGGCATGGGAAGAAAGTAAATTCTTTACCATCCTCCTAATTAAAAAATAAACAAGGGCTGTTGAATGACTGCACCTCATGGGTGATCAAAGAAATCTTGAACTACATGTAGTTCAGAGTTCAATTGTACATAGGACCAGTGTGAACAGCCAGTCAATGCAATAGCTTTCTTAGCCTCAATTTTTTCAAATTACTGTTACCAGCAAGAGTCCAACATCTTTAGTCTTGCATTTAAGGTCATTTAGAATCTAACTGCACAAACATATCCCACTGATAAACTCCCCCTTCTGCTTGTGCTTATACTATTTTGAATCTATATTTGCAATCAAAATGGCTAATCAATTAACCTATTCCCCTTCAACTTTGTGTCTTCCTGTAGAGCTATTTTGCTCCTCCCCACTTACAATTGAGATCCATATAGAAGATATAAGACCACACCTCCCATAAATTCTTATCTCCAAACCTCCAAATGTACTTTAATTGACACCTAAAATTTCTTCAGCCCTTCCAGAGAAAGGAAGTAACTTCTTCCTATACTGCCACTTCTCCAAGGTCCCAGCCCCACATTCTGTATTCTAGTCCCTCTTTCTTTCTCAGGAACTTAAAATTCTACGGATGGTCCCTCTTTCTCCTGTACCTTCCACCGCTCTCCATGGCTAGCATTTGCCAACTTCGGGGTGTGCCACCCATTCACATTGCAGGCTATACTGTAATGATACCCCCTAAAGATATGAAGACCAGAATAGCCAAATGTCAGAGCCCTACATCTCTGTCCCTGCTATAGCGTTCTGTCAACAGCTTTCCCAAAAGACAAGAAAGAGAGAGAAAGGGAGGAAAGAAAAAGGGGGAAAAATGCAAATTGCAAGTACCTCTGTAAAATTATCCCTCCATGTAACCTGAGCTCCATTCCCTCCCGTTTTCCTCCATCTGTTTCCGCCCTCCCTGTTCCACTGAAAACTGTCTTCCCCACGCTCATTAATGCCTTCTTGACAACATCTTTCAATTCTTGGTTCTCAGTCTCTCCCCAGCTTTTAACTCTCAATTGGCCACAGTCCTTTCTGACAAGCACATTTCTTTGGTTTCTATGAGAGCATATCGTTTTGGTTTTTGTCCTACGAGCTCCTATTTCACAGTCTTTCTCTTAAATGTTTGTGTTCTTCAGTCACTCATCTGGAGCTGCATTCTTTCCTCAGTTCACACTCTTCCTGGACATCTTATCATATTTCTGGTTTCTTACACATTTATGAAAACTGCCTGAAATCTAAACTCTCACCTGAACTTATTCACTTTCTTTTTCTCACTTTCCATGTCCAATGTATTAACGAGGTACTAGCAGTTTTTCCTTCAAATTCTCTAAAATCTACCCCCCTCCCTCCATTCTCCACTGCCACCCCCCACTCACCCCTCATCTGGACTCCTGCAGTTGCCTGCCAACTCTCCTCCCTGATTTCCACTCTTGCTACAGGGCACTTCATGCTAGTCACAAAACTGACTGCAAATGTTAACCTGTCTCCTCTGAAATGTAAAACCTTTCAATGATTTTCCAACTTCTAAATATAAAATCTAAGGCCTGCATGGCCTAATATTCTTGGCCTCAGCCTCTTCTTACAACTTCATCTCCCACCACTTTCTTGCTGCAGTAATCATTTTGAACATGATTATTGGTCCCAAAGACCTTTTCGGTTCATTTCTTTCAGATCTCTCCCTGCCGTGCCCTAGATTCATAGGGCAACTTCATTCTTTTCCTTTCTTCAAGTAGGACCTGACTGTTGCCTCCTGACCTTTGTCCAGGTAGCCTCCTTCCTCTCTCAGCACTTTCCCACACCTTCAGCAGATTCCAGCTCAGATAATACTTCACTGGGATACTACTAACCACCCTCAAGTCTAGCTGCATTCTCCTGTGTTTGCTGGCTTCCCCTGTACTTCCTGTATTGAAGCCCCATCACATGCATCTCACTTGCTTGGCAGTTAAGGCAGGAAGAGGAGAAACAAGATCTGTGTGGACCACCTACTGGCAGCCAGAGCTTGGGGCATAATAAGGTGTCCAGGACCAAGCACTTCAATCTAATTTTTTTTTTAAATCAAACTAACAATGTACAGAATGGAGAAAACTATACAGGCAACACACTTCTCAGAATTCATTCCTAAGTTTCATTGTTCATTTAGCTATTATACTATTTTATTTGACTAATTACAAAAAAGCAAATTTTTGCTCAATATATAGAGAGCTTTTGAAAAATAAAAATTGCCCAAAAAAGGAAACCTTAGAAGTCGGTGAATTCCCTTGTCAGTGGGCTGTAAATGAAAAGGTATTTCTCAGAACTTTGCATTTTTAAAACCCCATTCTTCAATGAATAGGTGGGCTAGATAATTTCTAAACTCACATAGAAATCTAAGCACTGACATAAAATATGCATGAGAGCTGAGTCATTTCCTTCCCCTCCACAACCCCACTCACTGTATTTGAACTTCAAGAATTCATCTTATTTTTTCATCATTTGTAGCTTTATGTGTTCTTTAAAAATTAACTCTAACATATAACTATTTTAAATGACTAAATGATACAAATACATACTGTATTTCTTTAGAAAAATGAGCAGGCGGAATTGCTGGATTTGTAAGATGTGCAGCAATGAGTCCAAGAGACTCCCTTCAAAGTAAGTAGCATTTAAATTCTATGGCCATTTAAGGTATTTTTGTCACATGATAAGTAGTGTGTATTTATTTAACTGTTCTCAATATATTTTGCCCAGAAAGTAAAATTTGCATTTATACATGAGTAATTTCACCAGAAGAGCAATCATGTGTTACACTAAGATTCCGTTTTCATTATTCATGGTTTACACTTGAGAATTCAGCAAGTTAAATATTTTTAGCATCTATTATGAGTTTTTTAAAGTTTGAGATTTTTCGATCCAAAATATTTTCAGAGTTCAAACCCTTCATCTGTAAAGTGCCAGAAAACTTCACTCCTGCTGGGAATGGTGGCACACACCTGGGATGCTGAGGCAGGAGGATCATGAGTTCAAAGCCAGTCTCAGCAATTTAGTGAGGCCCTAAGCAATTTAGCCAGACCCAGTCTCTAAATAAAAATATTAAAAAGGGCTGGAGATGTGGCTCCGTGGTTAAGTGCTCCTGGGTTTAATCCTCTGTACCAAAGGAAAAAAGTTCATTCCTAGATAGAATTTATGAGACTGGAAGGGTAATTAAATGCTTACCAAGTTCCCAATCTCTTTAAGTTTTGCCATAACTAAAAAATGTAGCCATTTGGAGGAGTGACTGGATTAAAATAAGAAGAAAGAAGAATGCCTGAGAAATGTGAGAAGCCATTCAGTTGGATGTACTCACCGCAAAGACTTCCCAGGTTGGAGATCCTTCTGAGGTTCATGATGAGTGCCTAGCCCAGTCCAGGTAGAGACCTCAGCTCTGGGCTCATCTCCCTGTAGGGTCACAGCTCCTGGCCTATAGGCACCTCTGCCGAAGTACGGAAAGTCCTAGAACACTCGCAAGCCACTGTGTCTTTAGGAGGAGGCTCAGCAGGAAGACCCAAAGCTCAGCAATTTAAACCTGTTGAGGCTGCTGACCTACACAGATGCATCCAAGGAGAAAAGATGTTAATAGGCAATTGAGAACAGCTGTCTGTTCCTCTCCTGGTGATTCCAATGGACTATCACCATCAGAGCTTGCATTTTTAGCTACCTGCCTTGTAGTCCCACAATGAGGGAAGGGGAAAGTCAAAAACAAGAAAATTCATGTTTACAGAAGGCAGTGCTTGATGACAGTCACTTGATAAGTGCTTTGCATTCACCACCTCATTTAATTTTCATGGTAACTATGATAGACATTATTATCCATTCTCTAGATAATGAAACTGAGGTTTAGAGATTTTTAAATACAGTAAGACCAGAAACTATTAAGGACAGCACTGGGATTAGAACCTAGAATTATCAGCCTCTGAACACTCTTCATTCCTCTGTCCATGATGTCATGACATCTCAAAATGTTCCATGTGCGATTGCCATACACTGCCTATCTGCCCAGAAGAAAGAAGGGGATGCAAAACTGGAGAACTTATATCAGGCAACTCAGGCAGGTGAGGGGACAAAGGTGTTTTCTATAATTCTGATGAGACCAATGAAATATTCCTGGGCCAGCGTGAAACTTGTGAAATAGAAATAAACATGACAAACAAAAATGATATTCAAACAGAAAGAGATTTCACAACTTTACCTTCAAGCATAATTACTCTAACCATAATCTATCTCTATAAATTTCATGACTCTTAGAGTCAAAGGAATTCTCTTACCAACAATTTCCAACTCCTAATCTTACACTGACCCAACACAGTGATCCTATCTTCCCTCAGGTTGTAGATTTTATTCTTTCCTACATAATGAGAATGAGTGGGACAGATAGGCATGCAATACACCTTATCTAGCACTTTCCATTTCCCTGGATTGAGAAGGTTATTTTAGGTTACTCTTTCCAAAGTTCTAATAAGAGAAAAGAACAATGAGTCAGGTAGAATTTCATGGGAAAAAAAAAATTTTTTTTGAAAGCAATCCTAACATAGTACACTGTTAAGCTTCAGTACTGATACAAACAGTCCATCCAAAATTGACAGGATCCATCTGAATTTTTAGAAAACAAAAGATATTTGACCTTTTTAGGGCTCCAAATCTGTTTCCATGTTCTCAGCAGTTTTTTTTAACCTCTGTAATTAATCTTCCTTCTTTGTGTTAAGAACCTGCTAATACTGATAGCTCTTCCTGCAGCGCTAATTTTGGGGCTAACAGCCCCCAACAGTACAGCCAGTGAACAGATCTTGCTTCCATCTATAGTCATCTTTGATTATATCTAGTTGTTGGGAGCAGGAAAATCAAGAATGTACCACAAATCCAATGATAATGAACACATTAACTATTTTAAAGAAGGATAATTTAAAAATCAGCATGTGAAAATGTAGTCTCTTGCCAGTTCACTTCAGGAAGATCCCCAACAAGAACAGAAGAGATGCCCTAGAATTAGTGTCTTTCACAGATATTTTCTAAATGACAAATGGCTTTGTTTATACTGTTTAAGTCAAATGTCACTCGACATATTGTAATTAATATTAAACCTTCAAACTCCCCCCCCAAAAAAAATCAGCAAATAAGAGACTGAGAAAATCATAGGTACAGAATTACTAATTTTATTATGAAAGTACATGCACATAGGTTTTGTGGGTGAACTCTTAAGATTCTAATAGACACAATGGATAAGCATGTTGCTGATGGCAGAAATATACAGTCCATAACCCTGTGAAAGCAACTTGGCAGTTTGTACCAAGAACCTTAAAACTACATCTTTTTTTTTACCCACTAATCTCTTTAAGAAATTAACTATCTTATGGGGCACAGCAAGCCTTATCCACATTTGGGGCTACTTTGGGGAATAGAAAGATTGTATCACTATGATTCTTTATCTTTTTAATACTTATTTCCTTATATTTTCAAAAATATCCTGCTTTTTATGAGTTTTATAAGTTTTAAATTTTTATTATAAAAATAAAATGTAAGTAGATACATTTCCATACAAAACCACACACAAATGGAGTGTAATTATATTTCAGGGTTTTTTTTTTTTTGGAGGTAATATAATTATATTTAATTCAGCAAAAACCTCAAGAACATTTAACCCAATCAGCATCTTTTTTTTTTCTTTTTCAAAGCCTTACTCTGGAAGAAATATTACAGTGGGCCCAATCTTTTGAAAATTTGATGGCTACCAAATGTGAGTATTATGCATATCTAATTTTTGAATAACCAGCCAGTGTCATTCTTAGGCAAAGAAGAGGGAATCTAGTTGATGAATATACGCTGTTCTGCTCAATGGCAACTGACATCGTTATAAAAAGAAAACCTGAAAATAGTTTGTCGTGTCAACTATGGTTATTTTTCTCTAGTGTTAATTAAAACAAGATTAGTCACTGCAGATATTTATTCTTCACAAGTATATGTATAAAATCCCTTGGCAAATATGCTGAAATAGTAACACATACTGAAATATGCTGCCTTGCCATAGCCTTCCAAAGTTAGCATTAAAAAAAAAAAAAAAAGTCTGCTTTGCTGTTCCAAGCGCTTTCAAAAGTAAGAGTGAAGTTGAATCTTGATGTTCTGAAACTCCTCAAAGTTTATCAGTGTCTGATTTAACTGGGCCTATATGTGGATCTGTGTAGAGTTGTATATAAGTATCAACATGATATAAAGCAGAGAGAATAGTAGTGGATAAGAAGAGATAAATTCAGAGGTTCAAGGAAGGAAATATGAAGAATGATGTACACTCAAGAGAACTGCCAACTGTACTTGGGTTAAGAAACTGGCAACTGGATGTGGTAGCACCTGCCTGTAATCCCAGTGGCTTGGGAGGCTAAGGCAGGAGGATGGCAAGTTCAAAGCCAGCCTTAGCAATGTAGCAGGCCCTAAGTAATACAAAAAGGGCTGGGCTGTAGTTCAGTGGTTAATCACTGTGGGTTCAATCCCCAGTACCAAAAAGGAAGGAAGGAAGGAAGGAAGGAAGGAAGGAAGGAAGGAAGGAAGGAACGAACGAACTGGAAGGTTGTAGAAAATGATAAAAACCAAAAGACAAAGTAGTGGGTACTCAGAAAATTTTTCATTGAATCAGTAATTTTTTGTTTTTGTTTTTGTTTTTAAATAGAGTTAGTGCCACTCAAATCTTTGTTAATTTTTACCTATAGACCCATGTTTTTACTTAAGATCCCCTTTCGGGCTCTCTGTGAATGTGGACTCCATGGAGGGGGGCTAGGTGTGCTGCGTAGATGTTTTAATTGGTGCACTGCTGTGGTTATTCTGGACAGGAACCTCCTGTCGCTCCTGGGGCCGCCATGCTGACTCAGCCCTCTTTGGTATGGACACACTGTCACTGTCTGGGCCAAAGGGTGGGAGATGGGGACCCTTGTCTACTCCTGCTAAAGACTCTACAACTTGCTGCATGGCCCCTGCCCTGCTACTAGAAACTGCACCCCAGCCTGGGGCACACCCTGAGCTCTGCTTCCCTACTAGGCCTTTCCAGTGAACACTGGGAGCCATGGTTTCTTTTTCAAACTACCTCTTTCACTTTTAAGGTGTTCCTCAAAGTTTTGTGATCCAATTCACAAGCCTGACTGTGAATTTTAAACAATATCTTTTGGGTACTTTTGACAGCATTTAAATGGGAAGAAAAGACAAAAATGTTTTGTTTAGTCAACTCTGTTGATTCTTCTTCTGTTAATAGTTTGGATTTAGGTCCCAACATTCCACAGAAAAGATGAAAGCAAGAAGACATCATACTGCTCTTTATAAAAAACAAGCAAAAATATGGTAAAAAATCTTGTCAGAAATCAAATTAGTATGAAGTTTATATAAAATATTTTTAAAAACTGATAAAACAAATCATTCTGTGGAGCAGTCAGCCAGAAAAGAAAACTATGAATATAAATATTAGACTTTCCACAGTATAAAAATGTGTTTACGTTCACCAAGGACACTAGCAAAATTCATCCTTTAAGCTAAGATATGCAGATGACTCTCTTTTACATAAATTAAAGCACTGATTCTAGAAACAACTAGTTCAGCAATTCACATGGGGAGAAAACATATTAGGCTGGGTCTCAAGAGAGGAGCAGATATTGGTTTAGAAGATGTTTTTTGGGGAGCCATTAAGTATAAATACATAGTCAAGACAATACAATTAGATTCAAATAATTCCATAAAAATACCTTTATGGAAAAAGGGATCTTTAAACAAACAAACAAAAAAAAAAAAAAAAAAAACCTCATCAATTTGAGCATAGACCTATGGCAAAATTGAGACATTAGTTAAAAATTAAGAATGTTAGATCTGGGACCAGTGGAACACACTTGTAATCCCAGCAACTTGAGAGGCTGAGGCAGGATGAGCAAAAATTGAGGCCAGCCTCAGCAACTCAACAAGACCCCAGCTCAAAATGTAAACAAAAGGAACTAGTGATGTGCTTCAGTGATAAAGTACCCCTAGGTTCAATCCCTAGTCCAAAAATAGAACGTTGGTAACCTGGACACATTCTAGATGTTATCTAATGTTGCATTGTTGACAGACAAGTTTTGTAAAATGCCGAAGACATTTTTTTACAAATATTGTGGGCCTCTATTCAAAATTCATTCAATAAATATATATTGAGCACTTCTTAGTATCAGGAAGGGTGCCTGGAAAAAAATCCCACGTGCCCATGTGACACATAAAATACCAACGTGGGAGTGGCAGGGAGTTCCAAAAACAGAAAATCCCCCAGAAAAGAAAAAGGAGGATTTCCATTTAAGGCACATTAGGGTAAAATTTAAAAACAGTAATTAAAGCAATTTTTTTTTGTAGCACTCTGAATAGAATTCCAAAGGCAAGACAAACGCATACTTTAAAAAAATAATAGCCTTTGACAAAAAAAAAAAAAAAATCAGCTAAGGCTGCATTAGGAGCTGACTGGCAACATTTTAAAGATAAAAAACTATTGTAGAAGTAAGTCCAGGAGATTTAAATGGTGTGTCTTTCAATGAAGACATGTAGTGTGGAGGATTCCTCAGGACTTCATGTGAAAACCAGCATCATTATAAAATCCTCCACAATGAATTAAGCAGGAAACACAAAAGTTCCCCCCAAATCTCCAAATGAACAAGTGATAGAAAGTTCTTCAAGTTTCCAAACATCTGAGTTTTTAGGTAATATTAAATTATTTTCAAACGGACATATAGATAGTGAGAAATTTTAAATGTTCCAAGTTAAGACTTTGTCATCTTTCCATGAAAATACCTGAGAGAATCACCTAAGAATTTTTCTTCAATGATGGTTTCCCAAACCACAGCACTGCAACCAAAACCATGGCAAAACATGAGGCATCACCAAGGTAAACACAAGAAACGAAATTCTGTGGATTTTTCTGATGACTAAGCCTTAACCAAGATACAGTGGAACTAGAAAAGGTACAGAGAAGTGCATTTGAGATGTCAGAGAACTAACAACCACCTAAATCCAGGGAGTCTTCAAAGTGGAAAGGTCAGGACTAAAAAAAAAAAAAAAAAAAAATCTATAATGCCAGAAAAAAAAATCTGTATACTGCCAGAAAAATATCTAAAATGCAGAAGGTACATACTTATATGTATGAATGAATTCTCAAAAGATGAGAACAGCGTTGCTCACTGATGTTTGTGTCAATTACATTTCATACAACTAAAAAAGATGTTTAGTTCCAAGTTGTTCCTTGGGTGAGTCACTCAATCCCAGAGTGTGTCTGGAAGAACATCCAAGACCTGGAGACATTAGGTCACACTGCTCAGCATGTGCTCCCTTTGAGGGGAGGACACAGACAGACAAGCAAGCAAATTAATGAATAACTAATTTCATAAAGTGGTCAGTGACTTGTTGAAAATGAAACCAAATGATATGACCTAAAAAAAAAAAAAATCAGGTAAAAGGTCACAATTCCGTTGATTAGTTAAAGAACAACTGTGAGAAGGAGTAAAATGTGATCAAAGAGCTGAGTGAGGAGACACAGCCACCCACGCTGAAGGCTGTGGTCAGAGTGGCTCAAGCAGAGAGAAACCACCTTTCAAAGGCCCTGGAGAAGTGAGTGAGGTTAGTGTCTTCAAATAACTGAAAGAAATTTGAAATGAGAGAAGCACAGGGCCTTACAAGTCACACTAAAGGCCTCAAACTAGAGTAACAAGGCTTAGTGTACCAGATACCCTGGTTCTCTTCTGATGAACAGAAACAGGGAGAGTGGTTACACAACTATACAATATACCAGGTCAGATTAGAATCAGTGGAGAAGATAAGGCTGGGAGCAATTAGCATGTGGCTAAGTAGCAAAAACCTCTCTAGGGTCTAGGAGATCACTGGAGCGAGGGTTCAGATAGAGAACTAAGATCCAAGAAGAGGAGAGGGGTGGTGGAAGAGGATGGGAAAAGAGTCTCAGGGGAGTTAAGAATGACTAAAAACAGTGTGTGATCATGGAAGCCAAAGGAGATACTTGCTTCAAGAAAGGAACCCTGAACTGTGTCAAAAACGCTGAAAAGTCAGGTAAGGTGAGAAAATAACAGCGCCCACTGGAGGTGGCAATAAGGAAGCCAATAGTGCCTTGATGAGCAGTTTGGAGGACACACGGTGAAGATGGTAACACAGGGATGATTCACACACGCTTTGATGTGAAGGTCAACAGACTAAAAAGCAGAGACTGGAAAATGGCTGAATAGGAAGCCTGATGTGCTTCCTCCACAATGAAGGATCGAAACAAGGAAAAAAGAAAAAAAACTGCAGCTGTTTCACTGGAGTGTGAGGCAGAGTGTTGGAGTGCAGTGGGGATGTGGCGGAGATGGTGCAGAGCACGGAGATATACTATGCCTCCGAAGGATGGGAACTAAGCACATAGAATCCATCTTTCCATCTCCAAAATCAATCCTGAGTCAAGAAGGACTTCAATCCATCAGAAGTATTTACTACTGGAGAATCATGTGGCTCTTACAAGCATTAGATTTAGTTTGGGGAAATGCCAGGTTACCACAGTGCTGGATTGCCATAGAGAAGGAGTTCAGCCCATGCTGTGCCCTCCCCCACCCACACTCTTGCTTCATGGAGCCATCTTGAAACCTCACCCACCTGAAGCAACCAGGCAATTTCTCTTGGAATCTCCACTGAGCCAGCCCTGTGAGCCACCAGGAGGACAGCCAAGCCTGTGAACTGGGAAGTACCAGAACAGCCCAGATTGAG